CACGAGGTGAAATGAAATTAAATGAAATAGGGTTTAACGTCCTACTCTGAACTGGGCTAATGAAGACGAGCATACACCATGCAGTGTGCTATGAGGGAAATTTTGACTGGACAGCGGCACTACAGCCTACTCTTACATCGAATTCCAATGTGTACACGGGACCTCAGTTTTTTGTAACATCTGAACGACTAGACAGCTGCCCTTGTCAGGCTCTCCGTCCTACATCACTGACAATGGGGAACCATGCCGGAAAATCTGGATGAACTTTCTTGGCCGCTGCAGGGATCAAACACACGACCTCCAGGCTAGCGAGCCAGCGTCTTACCCACTCAGCCATCATGGCCCCTACAATCGTGAGGTACCCTGGTAATTCCCCTGTGTATTGGATGTTCCTGCAGACTTGTCTTTGAGTTACAAAGTAACGATCAAGAAATTGAAGAACTTACTAATAATTCTACCAGCTAACTCCCGGTTTTTACGGATTTCTTTCGGATGTTTGTATAAATACATGACGGCTTTTCCTACTCCACTGGATTTCAAACTATCAGAGTTGATTGGTGGAAACTATAAATATAATACACCATCAGATACGTTCACTATGGTCAATATTAATCTATCAGAGATACATTCAATATCAATTCATCAGATGTATTCACTATGGTCAATATCAATTCATCAGATATATTTAATATGGTCAATATCAATTTATAAGATACATTCAGATACGCCATACAGTGTGCTATGAGGGAAGCTTTGCACCGACAGCAGCACTATGGCCTTCTCTTATATCAAATTCCAACAGCCAAGGGATCTTTTACGTGCATACCAATGTACACATGGGACATCATTTTTTCATCCCATCCGAATGACTAGACAGCTGTCCTTGTCAGGCCTTCCATCTTGCACCGCTGACAAGAGGACACCACGTCGGATAAGGCTCCTAAAACAATAGGCCCTACAACTACATGATACTGGAGTTGTAGTGTAACCCACTCACCTGAGTTGTAGAGTAACCCACCTGAGATAAAACAATTAATATAATAACCAACCTACCTGAGATAAAACAGTTAATAAATTATCTCGGATCATCAGATGTGGTAAACTCTTGTCAGGTAATGGTGCCAACCATTCCTGTAATAAATAAATCAGTATGTCAGGTAATAGTGCTTACCTGTAATAAATAAACATATGTACATTCAACTATAGGGAGTCACGGTGGCTCAGTGAGTAGGGTGCTGCCTCGCTAACCTGGAGGTCCCATATTCAATCCCTGCATTGGCCATGAAAGTTCATTGACATTTTTCGCATGAATTCCCCTTGTCCGTGGTGTAGAATGGGGGGCCTGGCAAGGCAAATAATGTAGTCATTCGGGTGGAACGAAAAATTGAGGTCTCACGTTCACATTAGTGTGCATTGAAAAGTATCCTTGACCGATTGAATTTGAAATAAGAGTAGGCTATAATGCCGCTGCATGGGCAAAATTTTCTCCCCTAGCCTACTGCATGCCCGTCTTCGTTAGCCCAGTCTAAGTACAACAGAAGGATGTTAATCCCTATTTTATTTAAATTCAAATAAACCCTTTAAATAATCATCAGTTGTAAAAATTGTGAATAAAACCTCAAGTTAAAGGTGCATTATGTAAAAGCTACCGGTACATATAAATCTGCCTATGGCTTTAACTGTTATATAAACATTTATTAACATGACAAGCCTGTAAAATACTCTCTAGGGGGGTTGGATGGCCGAATGGTTAGCATGTGCGTGCTGTATCAGAAAGCCTGGCGTGGTTTCGAATCCCCGGTTGTACGCGACCAGGAGTAGGGTCGTCTGTCCAACCTCGTGGGTTTTCTCCGGGTCCTCCGGTTTCCTCCCACTGCTAAAGACCCCTACGTGGAAGCGAATTATTGAAATAAAATTGAACCATATGATTGTTAGTCCCGAAATGACCTAGTTTGTGTTGAGTGAACGTTAAACCCCATCTCTCTCTCTCTCTAGACTATCGGATGGCTTGGATATTCAATGGATTATAACAGCCTTGCAATGACATAATTTTATTGATAAAATGGATTATCAAAACTACCTTTATCATCGTAGCAATGATATTACATAAACGAGACTCACTTGTGAAAACCTCAAATACTCAAAACTTTGTTCACAATAAAGTAACTTGAACGAAATTTTCAATATATTCATTTTGTATTTTTGTATTTTGAGCTATTAAAGCAAGAACGGACAGCTCCTTATCTAAATTTTACATAATGTATCTTTAAACATTTCCTATAGGAGACGTAAAACTGTTGAAATATTTGTATGAATTCTTTAGCATATTTTGTTTCTCTCCGTTAGGCCAAGAATGTTTTCATATTATCTTATAATTAATTGATAAATATAACTTATATGTTTTATGTTTAAATGTATTCTGTGAATAACGTAACTACCCATATTTCCCTACCATACCCCAGATCAAAGACGAAGAGCGTTAACAATATTAAACAACATACCGTAATGGCTGCTAAAATACCAGAATCTAAAAATATGGAATGCAAATCGGACCTGAAACAAAAATCAAACAAATTATTCCCTCTGATAGGACAATTACCAGAGGCCATGGGCAACCCTTATACACTTTCATCTAGGACATTTACTAGGGGCCACGGGCAACCCAATACATCTAGGAAATTTACTAGGGGCCACGGGCAACCCAATACATCTAGGACATTTACTTGGGGCCACGGGCAACCCAATACATCTAGGACATTTACTAGGGGAGACGTGCAACCCAATACATCTAGGACATTTACTAGGGGCGACGGGCAACCCAATACATCTAGGACATTTACTAGGGGCGACGGGCAACCCAATACATCTAGGACATTTACTAGGGGCGACGGGCAACCCAATACATCTAGGACATTTACTAGGGGGGACGGGCAACCCAATACATCCAGGACATTTCGTACAGGCCGCAGTTCACCAGTACAAATTAGATGAATTTTTGTGATTTTAGACGATTTTTCAAATAAAGATTTGATATTGAATGAATATGAAATAAATTAATTTTAAATACTAACTGGATCTCTACTTACTTTTTTAGTTGTGACATGACAAAGGGAAGTAATTTGATTTTTTTGGTAGCAGCTTGACGTTTTTGGTTTAATTCTCGATCTTCCTATAAACAAATTTTATAAAAAAATAATAAAAAACAAGAATTTCTGTTTTTGACTTCTATATCAGTGAGATAAAATTTGAGAACCCAGAGAAAAACCCATGAGGTTAGGCAGATGACCCTTGTCAGTTATAAGGTGGGATTGGACCATAATTTATTGACAGCTAATAATACGCAGATATTAACTCTAAGACTTGGTTATCATTTAGTTGTGTTGTTTTATCAGGAGTTTCTGTATATAATGTTTAGTTTCAAACCATTGTTGGTAAACTGTTCAAATCCGTTGAGAATCATAGAAAACCATTGTGTTTCTACTGTCAGGTAGTTTAAATGGTCTGTCTAGATTAGATAATGGGCGTTGGGTATATAACTGTTTAGTTTCTCAAAAGTTGTTGAGTAATTAAACAGACTAATTAATTAATCAACACTGCTCTAGAAACTAAACAGTTATAAATCCAACAATCATTATCTAATCTTCGGTTTCCTCCCACTGCTAAAGACCCCTACATGCAGGTGAATTATTGAAATAAAATTGAACCATGTTAGTCCCAAAATGACCTAGTTTGTGTCGAGTGGACACATCCCTTGTTCTCATTAATTACCTCATGTCAATATTTTCCTTGAGTTACAGGAAGAATAAATTTGAAGTGTACGCCACCCATGATGAGGTTAATGTAGCGCCCTGAAATGTGTAGCCCAGTACAGCAGTAGTGATATTTCTTCATCTTTTCACAGATTAAAACCCTCCCTCCTATTGTCTGAAAACAATCCTCCGCATCACATTTTATGAAAGGATTGTCAGGAAACCAGAATATTTTTTTGTATGGCCGTCATGTTGTGTTTTTTTTGTTTGGCCGTCATGTTGTGTTTTTTTTGTTTGGCCTTTGTGTTGTTTTTTTTTGAGGGGATTAAAGTAGTTTACCTCCGCAGCCTGTTTCATCTTTTTGATCATATCATCCACCAGATCATCGTTATCATTGATTAAATCACCCTCTTTCTTCTTCCTTCGCTGTCTCTGTTTCTCATCTCTCCTTCTCTCCAACATCAGATCAAAATCGGATACAATACTAGAATAAAAATCCAGACAGTCTACTACAGTCTTCTACAACAAAAATCAGGCCACACAATAACCACTGTATACAACCAAAATCAGGCCAGACAATAACATCTCTATACAATCAAAATATGGATGTCACATAATGAGATCCATCACCAGTATTTTGAAAAGCAAAAATACAATTTGTCACTTTGAAAAGAGTTAAATGTCCACCTGACACAAATTACAAAACATTTTGGGACTATCATATGGTTCATTTTGACAGGTGAACCATATACTAATGCTGGGTATTGCCACTGTATTCACGATACGATACATATTGTGATTCAGGTGCTACAATAATTACCAAGAATTGATATTTTAATCTTGCCGACGTCGAAGAAATAAAATTGTTTTATATCATGATATTGATGTGGATCGCAACAATTTAACGGTGTACCTGGATAATGTGTGACGTGGATAATTAAGAAGAAGAAGAAAAAGAAGAAGAACTTACGTTCCACCATCTTTATCACCATCTTCCACACCTTCATCAGAATCATCATCATCCTTGCCAACAGCAGGTGGTGGTGCTTCTTCTGGTACAATCCCATCAGCACCTTCACCAGCATCATCAGATAAAACAGCTACAAAATACAAAATATTACATAAAATACCCCAGTTTTTCATCCCATACGAATGACTATACTCGGCACATCTCAGTTTGGCACCACTGACAAGGGAGAACCACATGTACACCAGAGAATGCCAATCATTTTGGCAGGTCGAGCACAGGACAGTGAGCAAACACCTTACTCTGCTGTGATATCACAGACTACACTCTTCAACTTGTCTTTATAGTTCAACTTTTGTTTTACATGATGTATACCGTTTCTATCCCCCACCCCACTTCTCCCACAAATCATTTTGGTCGTTCCCATCCCCTTTCTTGCACAAACCATTTTGTTTGTTTCGATCCCCCACTCCACTTCTTCCACAAACCATTTCGTTCGTTTCCATCACCCACTCCCCTTCTACGACAAACCATTTCATTCGTTCCCATCCCCCACCCCATTTCTCCACCAGACCATTTCGTTCGTTACCATCCCACATCCCACTTCTACGATAAACCAAAATAATTCTGTCTTTTATAGTTCAACTTTTGATATATGTTTTGCAGGATGCCGCTCCCCACTTTTTCAATCAGACGTTTAAATAATATAGACAAAATTCTAATTAATCTACATGTATTTTTCAATTTAACAGAACCAACCTGATTTCTTCTTTTTAGACGTCCCTTCAACATCAGCTTCACCGAAACCCTGAAATAATCACAAGAAGATGTGTATCGTGACAGTACCTGACCCCCACACGTTAAACCACTAGATCATCTGACCTCCACACCAACGTAATAAACGTCTGTATGTATGATGACAGTTTGTACCAGCATCACAAAACTTATTAAAACTTCTGTATGTCAAGGGCCATAACTCTGGCAGTAATTATTGGAAATCGGTGAAAATCAATAGGCTTCTTCGTCTCATGGCCTTAAACACTGTCTATAAATTTAAAGTCAATCAGATATTAACTTTAGCCTCTAGAGCGTCCACGGATGGACGGGGGCGACGACAATATACAACCACATTCCAATGTGGGCATATAAAAAATCGTCTAATATCACAATAAATCATCTAATTAAAATTGAACAGTTAGTTTTAAACTGGACACAAGCACAAGTTAGACGAATTGGGGGGATTTTAGATGATTTTGATACTGAATGAATGTAAAGGAATTAGAGCTAAATGATACCTGGGCTACAGTGTAAAGTGATGTTATAAAATTTCTAGGCCCTAATTATAACCCAAAATTTCTAGGCCCTAATTATAACCCTAAATTACCTCAAATTCCTCGTCTTCATCACTTGAACCAAAGATATCAGCTATTAACTCATTTTCTTCAGCTCTGTAGATAAAAATAACAAATAAACTACATTAATGACCAACTAAGTTGCTAGGCAATCAAAGATATCCTAACAACAACTAAACCTGTCGGAGATGTCCACAAAGGTTGGTGCATTACTAACAACAGCTAAACCTGTCGGAGATGTCCACAAACGTTGTTCCATTATGAATCTTGGGATACCCACCAAAAAAAGCAAAATCTTTTCTCTGTATAATATCTTTAATTGTTTTGGGGGACTAGAGAGGAAACCAGAGGAAACACGGGGGAATCATCAGCACCAGATCATATGATTCAACGAACATGTGATAAACATGTTATAAACCATACGACCACACCCCCACTCCTATCTCTAGTGGTGGCTCAATGCTAATAAATTTTCAGTTCAACTATTTTTGTACGGATATTCAGCTTTCACAATAGTGTACAGGTAATTGGCAAGCGATGTTCAGAGACTTGGAATCAAATGAAATGGGGTTGAACGTCCAACGGGGCTAATGCAGACGAGCATACACCATACAGTGTACTATGAGGGAAATTTTGCCTGGGCAGCGGCACTACGGCCTACTCTTATATCGAAATTCCGACTGCCCTGGGATCTTTTACGTGCATGCCAATTTAGACATGGGACCTCATTTTTTATCACATCTGAACGACTATGAAAATCCCTATGAACTTTCTCGGCCAATGCAGGAATCTAACATGCAACCTCCAGACTAGTGAGCCAGCGTCTAATCCACTTAGCCACCGTGATTCCCGTTCTGAGATTTGATCAAATCTATAAAATGTGCTTACTCTTCTTTTTCACTTTCATCATCACTCATGACTTTAACTAAAATAAATAAACAAATAAAATGAAATAGGGTTTAACATCCTACCTTACTGTAGAAACACGGCTACTAAGACGGGCACATTATCACCTCTAGAGGGACCACAAGCTATAAACGTGATTTTTCGTACAATCAGAAGCCATAAGCCAGGAGGTTACGGTCTGATATGTGTGAATATCTTTGGGTTATAAACATACATTTAGAGTTTCATCAAAATCAGATAAAAATTATGACCTCAAGTGTCTCCACAAGCTAAAAACATGATTTCTCGTACAATCAGGGGGTAATCCATGAAGTTACATGACAGTTTCGAATGGAACCGAGAACTTTGGGAGATAAAATTATATGTCAAGTTTCATCAAAATTGGATAAAAATTGTGACCTGTAGAGTGTAGACAGACGTCGAGACAGGGGCGATGACAATATACATCCCCATGAAAATGTGGGCGTGTAATAAAAATGTATGTATAAAAATACACTGTCCTTCTGTTATGTATAAATATACAGTTAACACTACCTGTTATGTATAAATATACAGTTAACACTACCTGTTATGTATAAATATACAGTTAACACTACCTGTTATGTATAAATATACAGTTAACACTACCTGGTTGATCTCAGTTCAAACCCAATCTGATTAAAATACAAATCTATATTTCATTTCGTTTTTTTATACTATCGATGGCCTACCCTACATTAATATCTAACAAGTTGTACTCGAAGGTCGTGTCAGGGGTCACACGAGCGGCTTTTGACCCTATGATGCCTAACATTGATTAATCAATCAGCGTTGGCATTTCTAGTGGTTTACCCACAGTTCTGTGCATGGCACGCCAAAAGTCGTTGTAACAGAATGTTTCATTGGCTTATCCCCCACTTCAACCAAAACGCCCGTAATATAACAACTCTTCCAGATCCTAGTGTAGTAAAGACATGTAAAACGAAATTTTGAACAATAAAAAACAAAACGAATTAGAATCTGTGTTTTTAATCCGACTGGTTTAAATATGACCATGTGAAATCATGTTTTGTCAAATAATTAAGTTGTCTTGGTTACCGTACCTCTTTTTCTTTTCTTGGTTGGTGAAACGTCAGCATCAGTTTCAATGGGTTTATCACTGAAAACAACAAAAAATAGTTATATATCCTAATTTGAATAAATTTATCCAGGATAAAAAAAACCCCAAAAGCTATAGTAACTAAGTTCTTGATGGAAAAGTTGCCTATTTTTACTGTGATGACACGCTGCTTCTCAGTATAGTCGTTTGGATGGGACAAAAAAAACCACCCCAAAACGGACACGTGTACAAATTGACGTTCACGTAAAAGAAATGAAATGAAATGGGGTTTAACATCCTACTGTTTTGCTCCGAACTGGGCTAATGAAGACGGGCATACGCCATACAGTGTGCTATAAGGGAAATTTTGCTTGGACAGCGGCACTACGGCCTACTCTTATATCGAATTCCAACTGTCAAGGGATCTTTTATGTGCACGCCAATGTATACACGGGGCCACAGTTTTCCGTCTCATCCGAATGACTAGACAGCTGTCCTTGTCAGGCCCTCCGTCCTGACAAGGGGCAACGATGCCGGAAAATCTGGATGGACTTTCTCGGCCAATTCAGGGATCGAACACCCGACCTCCAGGGTAGCGAGCCAGTGTCCTACCCACTTAGCCACGTGATCCCCCCACGTAAAAGAACCCCCGACAGTTTAAACTTGATATAAGAGTAGGCCGTAGCACCCTACATGGCGTATGCTCATCTTCATTGGCCTAGTCAGGGCAGAACAGTAGGACTTGAAACCCCATACCATATCCCACTTTATTACAGGAGCAAGTGACACAGAGACGCAGGATTATTATCGGATGTTTGTAGAGAATTCCGTTAATCATTTGTATATCTATAACCTGATTCTTCTATGTGATATATGTTACTTACTCATCATTCTCTTTATCTGAACCACTGACAGGTGATCTAACCACTCTTCTCTCACCTGTAATTATAAACACATGTTGAATACAGGTGTTACAACACGGAACAGTCTGCACATATCAATCATAACCAGGTATGAAAATGATTTCTTTTTAATAATAGGCTAGTATGCAGGACCAGTTCCATTTAAACAGCGATACACAATAGATAGAATTTTAAAGTCAATTCTTTCAGCGATACGGAGCCAATGAAGTGATTTTAATGCAGGGGTTATACTGGATCTAACAGGAATTTTTGTGACTAGTCAAGCCGCTGAATTTTGATTTTTTTTTGCATCCTTTGTAATAATTCTTTTGAAACACTGAGGAGGAGACTGTTACAATAGTCTAATCGTGAGAAAATTAGCGAGCGATTGAGTGTAGCTGTGGCTTCAGTTGTGAGAAGATGATGAATACTACTAATATTATTGATATGATACAGTGCACTCTGTCACATCCGACCTCTGATCACTCCGGCACTCTGTCACATCCGACACCATTTTCATGTCCTGATTTATCTCCTTATTACTTCAGCCAAAAATTACTTCCGGATTACGACATCAATCAGCCGTTCGCCATACGATTTCCATTGAATCGACACCGTATAATCCGGCCTTCAATCAGTGGGTGTCAAGCAAACACTTACCGATCAATTATCCGTGAGATTAAAACTGGATGGGTGTGAAGCAATCACCAATCAATTACCTGTGAGATTAAAACTCGCTATCGTGGGTCTTTGTTGATTACTTTGATAATTTTAATCTCTTGTATGACAGTTGTGACAAATACTCAAGAATATCCACGAATTTTTACCCCGAATTCACAGTCGTAAAAATATTCCTAGCACCTGTTGGAAACATTCGTTGCGCATGCCGATTGAACCTGAATAACCTATAAGTTTGGTCACCCTACAGATCTCTTCGAACCGTGTGACGACGACCTGGAGATGCTCGATTCACAATCCGGATCGTCCCGAATTGACAGAATTGCAATCGAGTGACGCAGAATTCAGTCCTGTCACAGTTCTGTCAGTCCCGACGACGGAGGGTTAGTGAGTAGAATTGTGATGTAATTTTCACCCAATTGTCACTATTTTTCGGGATTGAGAGAATTCAATTCCGGAACGTAGAATCGAGTACGCCCATTATCAACGAACACGTGATAGCAAAGACAAGAGTGGGATCAATTGAAGACGCCGAAGAAGATAAATTAACAACAGACTTGACCTAGTCACTATTTTTGGGATTGAGAGAATTCAATTCCGGAACGTTCAATCAAGTACGCCCATTATCAATGAACACTTGATAGCAAAGGAAAGAGTTCGATCAACTGAAGACGGCTAAGAAGATAAATTAACGACAGACTTGACCTATTCAAAATGCCTACGCATGTTAAATGAAATAAAAAAATTAATGTAATACAATTTTGAATGTACAGAAATCATTTTGAAAGGGAATAACATTCTGGTGATTCGAAGTTCTATGTTCGAAGGTACATTATAATAATACTTCCGGTTTTCGAAGTTACAATATTTCCGGTTTTGCGAAAACTGGGTATTCCGACACTCTGCATAATCCGACATATTGTAACGATCCCGTACGATGTCGGATGTGACAGAGTGCACTGTAGTATCATGTTTTAGTAAGATGGTTCACATGACTTATCATGCTATTGTTACTATCTAAATAACCTCCCAGATCTTTTACTTTACTGGAGAGTTTGATAAAAGAATTTCCTACTTGAATGTTATCTAATTTTATCTATGTTATCTAATTAATTTATCATAATTTTGCTTCAAATCCTTCTCAAAACATTGTAATTGACGAGGAATACCCTGCTATAAAAATCGACCAAAAGAGGACATGTTTGTGTCACGTAACTTACATAGCAACCCTTGCGAGGTCGGAGGAGAATTCGTTGCATACACAAGGCGATGTTGTCTTTAATCACTGACTATTTATTACAAATATCGAATGCTAATTAAATTCTCAGATTATCCACTGCCCGCATCTTTTTCCGTCATTTTTTTCTCAGAAAGTGTTGTACGTCTAACTCTTCATAAAATTTATCAGCATCTACACCAAGCGCTCAATCTCCGCGTGCAACCTTTGACGTCACGCATGCAGACATTCCTAATCGTCGGGCTGTCGATTAGGGGAACCCTTACATTTTTGTCCTGTATACGCTCCATGGGTGTTTTTCAGGGAATCCAGTATTTTCTAGTAAGATTGGACATCTCTACTTTCCATATATACCAAAATTGCCATACTTTTATTGGAAATAACCACCCGATAAATACTTTTCTGGGAACCCATCTTTAAATAAACATCAATAATATTTATATTTGACAGTTGTATAATAGACCTGTTCTTCAATGGATTAGAATATGATCGAAACTAGTAGCTTACTGAGAGGAATCTGGGAAGACAGCTCGCCACTCTACCGATTCATACATTATATAAAAGATTATTTGGAATATATTACGAAAAATTTAATTTTTGAGTGATACATTTTATAAACAATTACAAATGCATTACGAAGTATTAAATATTTTACTGATAAATTTTATAAATGAATATTACCTGAAGGTGATCTCGATCTACTTCTTGATCTCGATCTACTGGATTGACGACTTCTCGCTGGTGAACGTGAACCACTCCTACTTCTAGCAGGGGATCCACTTCTACTTCTTGATCGAGATCTGCTCCCAGCACGTGATCCTGATCTTGACCTTGCTGGAGATCCTGAACCTGATCTAGAGCCTGATCTAGAACGTGCACGTGATCCAGATCTTGATCTAGCTGGAGATCCCGATCTTGACCTTGACCTTGATCGCGAACCTGAACCTGATCTAGCCGGTGAACCTGATCGTGACCTACTTCTGGAAGCTCTTGAGGCTGGAGAACCTGACCTACTTCTGCTACCTGAACGACTGCGGTGTGATCCAACTGGAGAACCAGGTGCACTTAACGGTGATCCAGGCCCAGGGCCTTCTGGTGAATTGGACCTACTTCTAGCTGACCCAGCCGGAGAACCAGGACCAAGTCCCATTGGAGATGCTGATCTGCTTCTATCTGAACCTGCTGGTGATTGTGATCGACTACCGGCTGGTGAACCCATGGGACTTTCTGCAGGAGATCCTGGAGCACTGCCAACAGGGGTTGGAGGACTCCCAACAGGGGCTGAAGGGCTGTCGGCATCGTAATCATCTCCATCATTATCCACCTCATGTTCAACAACTTCGCGTTCTACATCATCCTCATCTTCTTCATGAACATCTTCACGAACAACCTGGAAAGAAAAAAAACAACAAATGTTACAAGAAGCTTAAACGACAACAACGAATGAAACAGTATTAATATATCACTTCTCTTCAACAATCTGGGAGAGAGAGAGGGAGAGAGTTTAACATCCACTCGACACAAAATAGGTCATTTCGAGACTAACATATGGTTCAATTTTATTTCAATAATTCGCTTGCACATATGGGTCTTTATCAGTGGGAGGAAACTGGAGGACCCGGCAAAAACCTATGGGAGTTGACAGACGACCCTAGTCCTTGTCACGTACACCCGGGGGAATTGAAACCATGCCAGTTGACTCAATGACAGACCTTATGATGCAACGCCCACGTGCTAACCATTCGGCCACCCCCTCCCCCCTCTATACTACAAGCTTAGGGGATAAATCTGGACGCACAAAAACCTCAAATTTCAAGGTTTTGAAGATACAATAGAACTTACATCTCCACCATCATTAACATAATCATCATCATCTGCTTCATCTCTGGTAGCCATTTCTACATCATCATCTACACTAGCGGCACCACCTGGAGAACCAATAGGGGATCCACTAGCATCAGACCCCTGAAAAAAAGCACATTTATAGATATAATACAAGGGTTATATGACAACAACCAGGTATATCTATAATGGTTACTGTCTGTATAGTAATTACACAGTACATTTGTACAGCCATAGAAAAGTTACAGTTTTTACTTAGCTGTATGTAGCCTATGTAACCTATCAGTATCATCACTTGTCACATACATGTATATACATGTAACTTAATACCTGTAAATACACAAACTCTACCTTTAATTCATTATATACAAGTTGATAATTACAGGTGTTATTTTTACCTGTTTAAGTTGCTGTTCATTTTCTGGTTCATCTTGTACAGGTGTACTTCCTCCACTTCCTACATAAATATAAATAGACAAAAGTAAATAACTCTATTATTCAGCCTTTTATTGACACTGCCGCAGTCTCTGCGAGTGACGTCATGTAGTTTTGGAAAATTTATGCTTGGTTGGCCATATTAACATATACATGTAACTAAATAACAATAATCAAAGTTTGTTTTTGAGAAAAATATGATTGATAGTTTTTGCTCAGTTAATGCCATTAGAGATTCACGAAGGCTGTACAAGATTAGATAGCTTAATCTAAGATGTACATGTACCTGTGGGTGTAATTACACTGTAACCCAGGTATCATTTAATCTTGTGTATCTAGCACTAATTTCTTTCACATTCGTATAATATCTACAGGTAATCTTTGTTTAATAATCGTTTAAAATCACAAAAAATCATGTAATTTCTTCTTGTGTACCGTTTAAAGCTGACTGATTAATTTTGATAATGAGTGTCCAATTTACAAGTATTTAATTCCCTGACCACTGTTCAAAAATTAATCATTATACATCATTAATCAATTGGGTTGTTTATTTTTTAACAGTGATTGAGAAAATAAACACTTGTAAATTGGACACTCATTATCAAAATTGAATGGTCAGCTTTAAACTGGACAGAAGTAAAAACTAAACGATATATGGTGATTTTAAACAGTTTTTACGAATTTTTAAACATAGATTGGATATTAAACGCATATGAAAGAAATTAGTGGTAGATACATAAGATTAAATAATACCTGGGTTACAGATGTGTTCCAGAAAACAAAATAGAAATTTATTTACTGAAGGATGAAGGAATTTTGAAGATATTCGCCTCTTAGATTTATTTGTCAAGTAATACTGTACAGTACATGTAACTGTTCGATTTGATGAGATTTTACAATTCATTATCATACATATTGTGTAGGCTATAGAGATACATCAAGTTTGATTTGAACAGTTGGATGAATAATAATCATTTTTATTGAGAGAAAAGGGGTTTAATGTCCACTTAATATAACTAGGTTATTTTGGGAGTAACATATGGTTCAATTTTATTTCAATAATTAGCTTGCACATTGGGTCTTTAACAGTGGGAGGAAACCAAGGAACCTGGAGAAACCCAGGAGATTGGACAGAGAAGCCTTCTTGTCTTTGTCATGTACAAGTGTGGGAAAAAATAACCACGTCATGTGAATCTATAGCAGATCTTATGATCTAAAAGGTACACGTTAAACCACTTGGTCACCCAATCCTTCAATAAAACGTGGAGATTTGTTCATTTCCCATATGTTTGTCAAACTATCCATTGTGAATTATTCCTCTATAAAATTGTATTAAATTGGGGTTTGTTTCAGTCTTTTATCTTCTTACCTTTACCACAGGTAAATATATGGGTATATATATATATATTAGCTTAAACTTTTTCCTACTCTCAGTACTGGTACTCTCTCTATCCCTGACCCTTTTAAAGTAGCTAAGTCTCTAACTCAATATCATCCAAAATCTTCAACATTGAAAACACGATTTATTTGTCAAATTAAATCAACATTGATGTTGTGATCTTACCGGAATAAGATGGGCGTTTGATATCTAATATTTAAGACAAAATAAACATTTTACCATTGGTACACGAATCGTGTACCATAATGCGCTTCAGCCCCAGTTGTAAAAAGAGACTCGAGGGACGAGGCTAGACACATTGCACCAAATCGAACGGCGTATGTAGACTGGAATAACCAGACGCTAGAAATTTGCACTCGATTGAGACTGCTGGCTTATTTTGCCGAACATAACTGATTTGAAACTGGAGTAAAAACGGAAACCATTGAATGTAAATCAGTTTATATACATTCATATTACAGTATTATATGCGTTGCGACCCACTTTTGTCAATTTCTAGGTCCCAAATGTTAGCGATTTAGCTCCTTTTAATATATTTTCAATTCTGAGATTGTTTTGTTGGCACTCATAGGCATTGGTAATCTAATCTATCGAGGTAATAACTTAATTTAATTGTTAATTTGTTATTGTACCAACATTGTAGGACTATTTGTTTAGCGTGCAATTTTTAATATTTACGCTCATTATTTCCTTATATTTCTATTGGCATATTGCGTTCGACTTTTCTTGATTTGAAGTTGTCAACAATTGAATAAATGTGGCATTTTATTCAGTTCAAGATGTGTCAATAAATTAATTACAAAGATCACAAAGTGACCCTTTCACTCACCTGTGTCGTCGTATTCCATTTAATATTGATATTTTTTCTGAAATTGATTGAAAATACACAAAATACAACAAAAAATACAATCACGCTTTAACTCTCTGTTTAGCGCCCCCTATGTAATTACGGGGAATTACTCTCAGGGTTTTTATTAGCGTTATCTGGCCACAGATCACTAATTATTTCCCCATTGACTTTAATGTTAATTCTCGTCTCTTAAGACTGGCTCTAACTTTTTCCCAAATTTTCGTTGGGTAGAACGCTTTCTGCCACAGATGGAGCAACATGTGGCAACCACTTGCCCAAAAGCATGTATGAGGTTCACCATAACTTGAGATACACAAGTTGGAAGTAGAGACAAGTAAACATGCAATTTCCGGCCCTACATTTTAACGTAACCAACCTCACAACTCTTGTATCCTTCCGCCTCAAAATCATGAATATTCACCCAAACCTGGCAGAAAATGTATTTTCAAACCCTTTTTTTCGATTCTACACCAAAAAGTCAACAAAAATCGCCATGCAAAAGGGGGAAAAGGGGAAAGGGAGAGAGAGACTAAAAATAACTTTGGCCCTTGTTTGTGACGGCGTAGAAATATTTGGTGAGCTGTGTCCATCTCCCTTTAAGTTATGGAAAACCAAACTGCTCTCTATTCGGTGTTCTTAGTTCTTGATTCATAGTCCTTAATTCTTATTTCTTCATTTGTTGTCGTATTTCGACATTTGTACACTAAAATTAACAAAATGAAATGAAATGAAATGAGGTTTAACCTCCTACTGTTCTGCTCCTACTGGGCTAATGAAGACGGGCATACGCCATACGGGGATCAGGGTGGCTAAGTGGGTAAGGCGCTGGCTCGCTAGCCCGGAGGTCGGGTGTTCGATCCCTGCATTGGCCGAGAAAGTTCATACAGATTTTCCGGCGTGGTTCTGCCTTGTCAGTGATGCAGGACGGAGGGTCTGACAAGGACAGCTGTCTAGTCGTTCGGATGGGACGAAAAACCGAGGTCCCGTGTACACATTGGCATGCACGTAAAAGATCCCTTGACAGTTGGAATTCGATATAAGAGTAGGCCGTAGTGCCGCTGTACGGGCACCCTCATAGCACACTGTATGTCGTATGCCCGTCTTCATTAGCCCAGTTCGGAGTAAAACAGTAGGACGTTAAACCCCATTTCATTTCATTTCATACGCCATACAGCGTGCTACTCTTATATCGAATTCCAACTGACAAGGGATCTTTTACGTGCATTCCACGGGACCTTGGCTTTTCGTCTCATCCGAAAGACTAGACAGCTGCCCTTGTCAGGCCCTCCGACTAAAATTAACATTTGTATCTTAAAGTAGCTAAGACTCTAACTCAGTATCATCCAAAATCTTCGACATTGAAAACACGATTTATTTGTCAATTTAAATCAACACTGATCTTGTGATCTTAGGGGAAAAGGTGGGCTTCTGATATCCAATAATTAAGACAAAATAAACATTTTACCGTTGGTACACGTACCATGGTGCATTTCAGCACCATTTTAACAAGGGACTCGAAGAAAGAGGCTAGATATATTCCACAAGTCATGTCAAACGGTGACGTCATATTCTTATCTGGAGAGCATGCGCAATAAATACTATCGGTAGAGAGTGGAATGACCAAATGATAGAGATTGCCATTGGGTTGAGACTTCTGGCGTATTTCGCCGAATATAACTGATAAGAAATTACAGTAAAAACAGAAACGATTGAATATAAGTCAGTTTATATACATTCACATTACATTATTATATACTTTGTGACCCATTTGTGTCAATTTCTAGATCCAAAATATTAGCGATTTAGCTCCTTTAAAATCATTATTTGTTTCACAAATCAGATATGTAAGATGTATTTTTGTTTAACTTAATTGTATTTTAATATAAAGATAATTTCTTTTTAGAAAATCAAAAAATTAGCCTACATTTCATCAAAGAAATACAACGAAAAACAAAATCCCGAACAACAAATTTCCAAATACAAATCTCCAAATACAAACTTTTCAAAACATTTCTCCAAATACATTTCTCTAAAAACATTTCTCCAAATACATTTCTCGAAATTCATCGAACCGGAACATTATGACGACATGAGCTGAAATCACCCTCCCCTCCCCTCACTTAATAAATGAAATGAAATGAAATGGGGTTTAACGTCCTACTGTTCTGCTCCGAACTGAGCTAATGAAGACAGGAATACGGCACTACGGCCTACTCGTATATCGAATTCCAACTGTCAAGGGATCTTTTACGTGCACGCCAATGTTTCAGACCCTCCGTCCTGCATTACTTGGTTTTATTCATTAGTTACAATTTATTGATGTATTTTATACTACAATTTATAAATTGTATATTACGTTTTTCGTGTATTTTAAATACTACAATATTCAAGAGATCAAAACATTTCGCCTTTACACATTCTTAAACGCACATAGACCTACAAATATATCTTCCACTAGTTAGCTAATATTGCCAAATATATCTTCCACTAGTTAGCTAATATTGCCAAATATATCATCCACTAGTTAGCTAATATTGCCAAATATATCTTCCACTAGTTAGCTAATATTGCCAAATATATCTTCCACTAGTTGGCTAATATTGCCAAATATATCTTCCACTAGTTAGCTAATATTGCCAAATATATCTAGTTAGCTAATATTGCCAAAAATATCTTCCGCTAGTTAGCTAATATTGCCAAATATCGAAGGTGGGTAAAGGGGGCGTACATTAGAGACTTTTAGCGAAGCACCCCCGCCACCAACCCCCACCCACACACCTGCAAGAAGTTTCGCCCCCCTGTGAAAAAATTGTCGACCATAAAAACAATAGATATACATTGTCCGTCAATTTTACAGCACTAATACCCGCCCCCCTCGTTGCTCTGAGCTAGTTACGTCCCTGATGGGGGCACGTTCTGGTGTGTCATCTACACGTAGATTACATGAATCCGCTAATGTAGAGTTTTATACACTGGGCGGAAGTAACAAAAACTTCAAATTATTCATACTAAACTTAGACTATAATTCTTTAACTTAAAGGGTCGCATATTGTTTGTAGTCATGTATATGACTCTATGTCGCACATCTTTAATTCTCGACTTTAAAGGGACAATAACACTCTTGCTGGCTTGAAAGCTCCAGAAAATAAATAATATCTCTAAGTACTAGATGTTTAAGTGTCCTACCTGTTGTGTAAATTATCCATTACATCCTATTTTACTTGTCCAGAGGGTTCGAAAATATTTTTAAATCGAAGTTTCATTTGAAAAGGTTTACGTTAGACGTTTCAAACCATTATGTTGAATTTTTCAAAATTTTTGAATAAGGTGTGTTAAGATGAAATTTGTATCATCAATTAATTGAAATATTCTAAAATAGTACAATTTGTTGACCAGAATAAAAAATTGGGACATATTATTCAGTTACAACAAGAGTGGTATTGAGCCTTTAATCCAAGTCTCTAATTAAATATCATCCAAAGTCTTCGGCATTGAAAACACGAATTATTTGTCAATTTAAATCAACATTGATACTGTGATCTTACCGGGGAAAGATGGGCTTCTGATATCCAATATTTAAGACAAAATAGATATTTTACCATTGGTACACGAATCGTGTACCATAATGCATTTCAGCGCCATTTGTAACAAGGGACTCGAAGAACGAGGCTAGGCATATTCCACATGTTAAAAGGTGACGCTATATTTTTTATCTGGAGAGCTTGCGTAATAAATACTTTCGGTGTAGATTCGAATAACCAGCCGCTAGATTGAGACTTCTGGCGCATTTCGCCAAACATGACTCATTTGAAATTAGAGTCTAAACGGAAACGATCAATGACGTATATATATTAACTAGACCGATGACGCCAATCTGTTTACTAATGACGTGATGACAAACCAGTACTGACTTCCGGTTCAGTCAAGAAGAGCCGAAAGCTGACGTTTCTAATGTAAACAATACACGTTTTGCACCTTATTTTGATCGTTATATCGTTTGTAAATAAAAAGATTGATTGGATTTTAGTTTTTTTTTCAGTTATTGCCATCGCCGTACAGTACACAAATATAGCTTTATATTTTTTTTTAGAAGTGATCAGATAACTTATAATTTTCAGTGTTTGACTATGAACTATGACTCGTGGGTAATGCGCTGATCGACGTCTGGCTGGACTATTTCTTTTCATATTATTACTAATATTAGGCTTCAGAGGCGTATAACACCACACAAAAAATTAAAATTAAATATAAAAAGTCTTTGTTTACGATTCCCCAACCGACTCTATTTTTGTTAGTCATAATCGCCGACACCAAAATAATTTTTCCTCATTTCCTATAAATCTGTAAAGGCGTGCTTGTTTGCAAACAAATCACCGACTCTACTTCTAAACAGTTTTTTTCTCATTTACCAGGGCCTATAAATCTGCCTTCGGCCGGTTTTCTACAATTTCCAATACAGTCCAAATCGTCATGTCATCGTGTTTGAAAGGGTTAAAGATTGCAAGTATCGACGTAGGTTATTAAAAATAAAAGATTAAAGTGACTATCCCGATTTGAAAAGAGTCTCAAAAATAAAATTCCGAGTACGTATGAAATTTAAGTACCAAAATATAGAGGAATGGTGTATTTACCCTGTCTCAAAATTTCAGCTCAAAATATTCAGTCGTTTGGACGTGAATGTCAAAACTGCTTATCCGGACACGTAACCCTTTTAAAATTTCTGGTCAAATTTATCGTTGGGTGACCTGATAATCAATTCCTGTTCATTTAGAAGTCTATACAGTGAATGGCCCTTGTGCTGAAAGGTATATTTCACCTACACATTATTTTTATAAAATAAAAGTCTAGTTTTATCCAGACACTGCATAATACAGCTGGGGACACCGGTCTCCATTTCCAGTTTAAGACTGACGGGTTTAAGTTGTTTAAAAATGTATCACATATATTGAGTTTGTTGCTGGACCCTAAAGTAGATGATTTAAAGGGGTTTTAACACAAAATTAAGCAGTTTTATTCTCCAAAATATTATCGGGATTGGCCCTTTAATATATTACCCCACACAAAAAATAAAAAAAAATAAATAAAAAAAAAAAAAATAAAGACGTTTTCCGACCGACCCCATT